GATACATATAAATCAGCTGTCAGAATAGTATTAGGTCTACCGGAAAGTTCTGTCCGTTTTTGAATTGAAATATAACACAATTTTCATACATTTAATAATATTTATCGTAGAATATACTTTCCATCGTTACTTATGACTTCTTGCCAGCGTGATGGCAACTTGTAAATGCCATTTTTAAAAAATCATTTATTCTTAGAGCCGAAGAACTCAACTAGTGCTTGGTCGACATCAGCTTCAGTTTTGAATTTTTGTTCTTGTTAAAAGTTTTGCAAAGAGAGAAACAACTGATAATCGGAGGGTGCTAGGTCCGGGGAGTATGGTGAATGTGACAGAATTTCCCAGCCAAGCTCTGCGATTTTCTGACGAGTCGCCAAAGCAGCATGTGGTCTGGCATTATCATCGGTAGCCACGTTTTCACGATCGCGTCTCGCTTAATAATGACACAAGACATCTTTGTTTCAGTTTATTTAGGAGAGTACACGTGTGTAAATGCAATGATAAAGAGAGATAGTCATATATGTCTCAAATCAATATGTGCATATGGATTGAAACTTGAAGTGACACTATCGGACAGAACTTTCCGGTAGACCTAATATAATATTCCGTACTGCCGATCAATTTTTCCTTCGAAACAGAAAATCTCTTCCCTTTGCAATCTAAAATACGTTATCTAAATAAACCACGCTGTTGCACGTATGTAAAATTCTTCTATCTTCTCAAAACACCATGCACAACTATTTGCAAGCGAGTCGCGTTCACGGTACGGTAGAATCGCCGCGTCCGAATTTTTTATTAGCCAGCACATTTTATGCAATTCTGGCAAAACTGAATAGGTGAAACGTGAAACAGCGGAAGGATTAAAAAACACCGAAGAATGTCGATCCACTTAATTCCGACTTATCGAAATCATTCGAGGAAGGAAAAGTGCCGCGCTTGGCTGCAACGTTCTGCAACTGACGCGTGCAAATTATATTCCGAAACGCGTTTCGCTCTGGACTGTATCGATCCAAGTCAATGCGCGCACAACACCGTTTATTGTTTAAATCGACGAACACGCGATCCAGCGCTGAACTAACTGTTCCGCTATCCGAACACCCGTGTTTCCACGTCCGATTCACACGCGATCAATGTTTTACCGTATTATTGCACAGTTTTGCACCACGGTCGAAGCTACGAACTCGCGATACCGCGGGAAAAATAGCACGGCGAAATTGGGATTCGGGAACAACATACATACGCGCGTCACTGTTTACCCGCGCAGATGTGAACAGGCGGTCGGAATGGAAGGGTTTCAATAAACGCTCGCCTCGATCATTGACGGAGCCAGCCGGTCTCACCTCGATAGAGCCGGTCGTATCCGGAAGCCCCGCGGGGTCGCGATAATGAAATGAAATCCCGGATTCCGAGAGATTAGCCGGTGAAAGTCGGAGCCTCGGCGATATCGAAACCTGATGCAACCAGTGCGTCGGTAGGGGCTGAGGGCGGCCAGCAGTCGAAACCGTGCTCCGAACACTGGTACACACACAGCCACCCCCTTTCCCGCCGCACCTCCGATCGATTTCTTCCGGTTCGTCGACGAGCGACACATGAAATGATCTTTCTGAACGTGCCGAAAATCGGCCCGCGCGAAGCCTGTCCCCTGATAGTGCAGGCCAGCCCGGACAAACGAAAACGCGATAAATTCACTGCGAATCGTACGATCCCGTCGGTAAGCGCACGCATTATACGGATTAACGCCGTTCGATTCTCGCGGATAATTAATTTTCCTCGATGATCGCTGTCGAACGATTGGTGACGCAAGTGACGCGCCGCGCGAAGTGGTCGATTTTCTTAGAAAAATGGGGCGAAAGTCGGATAGAGAATTGTTTTGTAAGTGGAAGATCGTTGCGTGGTTATATTTATTATTGTATGATGCGTATAATTGATGGGTTTTGTACGCTTAGTTGTATTAGAAATGGGTCAAAGAAACTGATTTTTAGACTCGCGAGACTCGAATCCGTACCCTGTGAAGCCTCGGAAGCTCTCGGAACTCTAAAAGAACACGGGATGCTTGTTCTTCTATTCTTTTTTCTTCCGAGAAATGTCTACTTTGATTTCATTTATTTGCTGTGTAAACGGGGCGGATAGTTTGTTAGAAAAAGTGTAATAAAACACGAGTACACGAGTACGAATGTATAATAATAATAGTGATGGTAATCACAGTGACATTGACGGCGAGAATTAATGGCAAGAATGAATGGCAGGAATTAATGACAGGAATTAAGGATGCTTGCGTACAATAGGGATGGCAGAGCGTTTGAATCAATTAATGGAATTGTAAAAAGAGTCGAGAGTTGTAGTGACCGTATTTTGTCAGGAACTGAAATCTTGATAAATTCTATCTAGGAAAACAATGTTGTTATTCAATATAATTAGATGAAAGTTAAGAAGAATAAGCAAAAGAGACTTCATAAGAGAATTGTTTTCATCAAATCTAACACTGCAAGAAGTTGCGTGAATGGATGCAACGTATGAATCTGAAAACGATGGAGAAAAATGTTTAAATTCGTAACGTTCGAACCGAGTAACTTTTGAACACTGAACTTGTTACGCTCTGCATAACATCGGACCCTCTAATAACAAGCCTGATGGGTTTATCAATAAAAAGTAAAGTAGGAATCAATAATAATCACTACTGAAAAGAAATGCGATACGTGCATTTAGGTAGATAAATCAAGTTTTCGAGTCGTAATAATTTTTGTCCCATTTTTGGGAGGAATCGACCGCTGTGCATTGCCCTTGTTACGTTCTCAATGATTTATGGAAAATTTTAGAATTAAGTCGAATGATTTAGAGACCTTTAGAAATGAGATAACAAATTGCAAAAGTTGAAGTTTATTGTTTGTACGGTGATCTAGAAATTTGGACATTGGGTCGGTGAAATGAGAACGCGTTTGAATTTATTTTGAAGCTATGTTAGTGTTAGTGTAGATGTATTGTTTGAGCCATTAGGAGTTGTATTGGTTACGATAATGCGAGGAGAGGAGAAATTCGGAACGACGTCATTTAATTTTCGAGGTATGGAAAGGAATTTATGAGTTAAACGATAGTCTACGAAGGATGAGGAAGTTATTTATAACTTGTTGATTCATGTGATATCATCACCATCATCTATCATAATAGTGATGATACAAAGAAGAATAGTGGACGAGATAATATTATTAATTAATAATATTATTATATTATAATATTATTATATTAATTATAATTATATTATATATTATTAATTATAATATTATTATATTAGAACTAATTGTACAAACTGAGAAACTCTGAAACGAAGAGACAATCAAAGGATTGTAATTTTCGATTGTTACTATCATCGCATAAGGAAAAAGAAATTCAGAAAAGTACAGTCTCAAATGATTAAAAAGGATATTGACTCGAACGAGTTTTAGTTTGTGTTGCCACAATTGTTGATAACTATTTTTCGCTTGAGAATGTTCTGCCTCTTGACTGACCAGTTTTAATGCTTGAATTTAATTGAATTGAATTTAATTTAATTGAAATGGTTTCCTTAAAATGTCAAGCATATCGCTAAGGTAATACTAAAACACGTTAAAATACTTTCAAGGTTATTTAGCGTAAGTACAGGTTATGGCTGCAAATATTCAAATGTCTGAAAGAAATTGAAAGAACTCTATATTTGCAATGCTGCCATGTTTTGTAATGAGAATTAATATAGAGAAAGTTTGACCGAGGTCATAGTGGACCCCAAGGTACTATTGCAGAGTTAAATATTGTTAAAAACTATCGATGGCAGCTTATTCGACCAGTGTGTAACGAAAACAGACAATTTCGAAATCTTAATGAATTAAACAAATATTTCCACCAGTAATATTTTAACCAAAAATATTTTATCCATTTTAACCAGTTAACTGTGTTTGACGAATATATTCGTTACGGAGAAGTGGCAGTATTTTGTGTCATGACGAGTATACTCGTCGTACGTAAAAAGTAGTGACCATTGGCAATTTAAATCGTAATTTAAGTGAAAACAAAAGCATATTCTCAAATTTCAAGGTATTTAAAATATTTTAAAATCAATCCTATACGAAGGTGTTTGCATTGTTATAAAAATAAGGTTAGAAAAGAATCACGATATTGGTGTTCGACGTCCAAAGTGCTATTATGTACGATAAATTCGTTCCTTGCTTTGCACCGAATACCACTCTACAGCAGCAATTTGAATTTTTAACTTTTATAAGTATTCGATTTTTCCTGCGTTTTTCGTTTATTATATATGTACCATATGTTAATGTTAAATGAATAAGTAAATATTAGTAATAAAATCGTTAATTTTATAAAATAAAACCGTCTTCTTGATTCAATATTTTAACAGCGACATTTAGTCTATGTTCGCCGAGTATACTCGTCGTCGCTTGATTCTCGCGACACATATAGGTGCTCTGAAAAGGAGGCGCCACAGCTAACTGGTTAAATTGAAATAACATTGAATTTGTCTGCTATTAATACTTGATCATTAATGCAGATATTTCTAAGAATTTATTAACGACAGAGAAGTTCTATGTAGTATAATACGGAACAAAATCGTAGGCCAAGGGATAAAAAAGAATTTACTAATCGTAATCAAAAGCGAATCATCAAATTAATGATCGAACTACCAGATAATAGACAGTGTCTCCGATCTTCTTCCAATTTTTTTCAATTTTTTTCCCGCTTCGTATCATACTTGAGAACGTGCTATAATTTCATTGATCCAACTTCACCTCTTTCAATAAACAGAAATACCTCTACAACAAACTTCAACTTCTAATTAAGTATTGCGTTATCACAAATTATGTTTATATAATATTCAAACAATACGAACAATTCTGAATCTTTGGGAATCTAATGGTGTACCATCTGTTTGACCGGAGGCGTAGATACGAAAGGAGGTTTAAGTATTAAATAATGGTTGCGTGTGTAGCCTGCTTAGTATCGGGATTCTGTAATTGCAGAAAACGCGATTCGCCGGCACAGTGGAAGAACAATTGCCGCCCCCGCCGTCGCCGCCCCAATTGAAAGAGGCTGGACAGTTGGATGGAGTTCCTAGACCGAATTCGGTCGATCGCATCCTTCATCCTGACGGCAGCCAGCACGTAGCTAGTCACGAAACGCTGAACAAGGTAAGGATCCGTGATTTCTTCGATCCTCGTATAACCCCGAGCAACAAAATGAAACTGTTTTCCGCGACCAATCACCACGTTCGATCATCTGTTCCACTTTTTGGGACCATGTTACACGAAGAAATCGAAGAGAAATAATTCGAATTGATTTCCATTATTTTCCAAAATTTTGGATCAAGTATAATTTGAAATTCAAGCGAATTTAACCGCGTGCGTGGTCGTCGCGCATGCTCCATGATCTTCACAGCATTCGCCACCTATCTCGCACCCTTGCAAACACGTGGAAAAATCAATTGTGTCGGCAGCTATCTGCTGATATCGCCTGCTCGACCGATGGTTGTAATTTTATGGTGAATTTTAAAGTCGTAATTTAAATGCGCGTAGATCTGTGGTGAACTTTTCTACAATATTGTTCAACTGCAACGTTATTTCTTGCATTCTGAAGTCAAATTTTTTGTGCTAGAACAAGCAATAATTTATACAAATGAAATACAAGGACTTCGATGTTTCTGTTGAGTTACACTTTTATCAATTGTTTAAGAAATATCTTTTAACGAATATAGTGTAAAATCGATTCTTCAGTGACCGTGACTTGTATATCGACCGAGGGTGGTGTGTAACTTACCATCTGTACAGGGGTGTTACCGACAGTATTTCATCCCTCAACCCTTTAACCACGGACGAGGTATAGGAGTAGATCAACGTGTTAGTACCTATTGCATTATTTTTTCACTCAAAAGTGGGGTTTCAGGATTCTCATTATCATTTCAGTGTCGCATGTATAGTTTCTGATTTTTCAGTAATTTAAGCTTCTGAGCACAACAGACTTAGGATCCGTACAGACATTGCTTCTTACGGACTTTTCTGTCTCAGTTTTGAGGAGCTCTAGAACCTACCCCCTTACTATTTCGTGTCGCGCTCAACGTTACCGACAGTTCACGAGAAATAGACGCGTTAGCAAGAAGCGAATATCCTGTATATTTCATTTCTACTAGTGAGTAGAAATCACTCGCTTCTACGAGTACTGAATATTATTTGGAAACAAAAAGCGTATACAACGCGACATTTAAATTTTGGAAATAGTACTTGTGAAACATGTACTACAGAAGTATGATATAAAGTGTAATTATTTTTATGGACAATTGAACAGTTATTTCTACTAACTATATAATTAGAGATAGTACAGAGAGATTATATAATATTATATAACAATTGTATATAATAGTTTTATTAATTTACAACGTTATTTTTTATAAGCTTCGCAGTGCTAGCATTGCAAAAAAAGCATTGCATGCAATGTCTATACGGATCCCAAAGCTGTGATACTGAATTGCAAAAATAATTTAGGTTTTTTCGTAAGCCATCTATTCGGAAAAGCGAAACTACATTTGCAAAAACCCAACAGATACAATCTGGTGAAATTCGAGACATTTCAGAAGAGATTGCACAACCGATATCATATCTGTAATTATAACAAAATATTATTTTATAAATATTTAAACACCACTTGCGAAGTAGATGTTGACATGTGGTTAGCTATTAAAATGTTATTTTATTAAGGCGTTACAATAATTTCTCTGATATTGTTCCTCAGATTGGAACGTTATTCGCATTTGAACTGTTTACTTCATAGCAGGGCTAAGGAAAAATAGATTTTCGGAAGAGTAAACAGACGAATGGAGCATAAATATTTTTATCTTCAAGTGGAAATTACGTCGTGCACGCGATGCGCTAGCCATTGTCAGTCGCAATTGTTATTAAATATCGTCCCATGCGCCGTTGCTCGCACCCTGCCGAGCAACGTTTGGGCGCTAAGAAGGATTCGAGCAACGAGCATGGATCCTCGGATCTCTGAAAATCCTATCTAAAAAAAATGTCATTAGTTTCTCGGGCTAACATTGTTATTGAAAATTATTGAATTTATTGAATATATGTATGTGATAATTATCGAAAAATTATTTATTGAAAAGTGACTATGACGTTCAATATTAACTTCGTAACAATAATTTAAAAATATGTTCAAATATATATTTTAATAATTTCATAAGAAAAATGAATTATGTTATTTCATAAGAAGAAGGAAACTCTCTATTTTGAACTGTTATGAATTATGTTTTACCTATCGCGAAACACGTCTTTCTGCACGTGATCTCTAATAGAATTAGACGGAGATAGTTATTCGATGTACATATATTGGCACAGTTAAAGCACCAATATCATTTTTATAGCAATCGTGTTCACGATGGATCGCGCGTTATAATCAATTCTTCGGCTTCGAAATAGAATTATTGAAATCTCTAACAATTGGTAGGAAACTGATATATATATATTAATAGCTAGGAAACTGATTACCACTCAAGGGATTGCCGGGCAATCCCTTGGTCATTGCACTCGTTAAAATGATCTACAATTTCTACGTAATAAAAAAAAAAGAAGAAATGGTATTCTCAAATGTTCGCTCACCGCTTGTTGGAAGGAGGAGATCTAACCTTGACGAAGCCCGACAGCGTTGCTTCTCGATCTCGGCAATCGAAGCAGTTTCCAAATCTGTAACAATAGCAAGAAATTCGGTTAAGTTCAATCGGCATTAAATGTGAAAATAAATTATGTGTGATAGATGTTTTGTGCCCTGATAAAGGTGACACTTACGTCATCTGTTTTTCTACGAAGCACGAACGAACGCGTTGCTTTCCGATTTCTGCTTCATTGTAATTTCGTGATCTGTAACAATAGCAAGAAATACGATAAAACTGAATAGCAAGGCAATGTGAAAATAGCTTAGGATGAAAACAGAAAAGGATACGACGTACCACGTAACGATGTTTGTTGACGCGCTGATCCTTTCCTCCTTGGATTTCGAGGAAATTACGTACAATGGTCAGCCAAAATCCCACCCAAATACGATAACCGATTCACTTCGCTTCGACCACGATTCAAGTCATCAGAATACACGCGAGAGATATTCAGAAAAAAAATTAATCTTGCTCGATACAACGAATATGCGACGGACGAAAATTCCGGCGATATCTGCGACGCGTTTCGCGATGATGTAATCACCAGGACGACTCGTAATCAAATTCTAACGTTCGATATACCGCGTATTACGTTTCCGAAATTCTCGCGACGTATCACAATTGCGTCGGGTTAATTAGGCTGGCGTGTGACGTCTTGTCGGCGCGAAGAATGCAACATTTTTTCCTCGAGACACGTCGAAACCCGCTGCTCCTTTACGAATCATGGGCGCGATTTCAAACACGGAATTAATGCGAAATTAAATGCGATCTCAGGTGCAATCTCACAGGCGATTTCCAGCGCGATCTCAACGCGATCTCAAACGCGATCTCAGACGCGTTCGACTCGGCTTCGCTCAGCTCGGCTCGGCTTTGCTCAGTTCGGCTTTGCTCGCTTGGCTTTGCATCGACTAGGTCTCGCTCGGCTTAGCTTCGCTCAGCACGAGTCAAACAAAATGTCTTATCCGGTAGAAGCGATCAGAAACGGATGCCACCACGCGATTGTATGCCGTTTACGACTCATGGGCCCGATCCCAAGCGCGATATCAAACGCGATGTCAAACGCGATATCAAACGCGATGTCAAACGCGATGTCAAACGCGATGTCAAACGCGATGTCAAACGCGATATCAAACACGATATCAAACACGATCACAGGCGCGATCTCAAGCGCGATATCAGACATGATTTCAAACGCGATCTGAAACGCGATCTCCGACGCGATCTCTCTCAGATGCGATCTCTCTCAAATGCGATCTCTCTCAGACGCGATCTCTCTCAGACGCGATCTCTCTCAGACGCGATCTCTCTCAGACGCGATCTCTCTCAGACGTGATCTCAAACGCGATCTCAAACGCGATCTCAAACGCGATCTCAGGCGCGATCTCAAACGCGATCTGGGCTTCGGTTTCGTTCAACCCTCGATGATCAAATATTCCAGCAACTTAAACATTCCTGCTGTTTAACACGTTCCGTGCCACGTGTACCATCGATGGTACACGCTTGCATGTTTACTTAGTGAACTGAACAAATTGTTTACAAGAAATTTAGAACCGAAGAATCAATTTCCACCGCAAGAATGGGCGTTGATAAGTTTTTGTTACGTTGTTATGTGTACGAGAATTAATAATTGCACGTAATACATCAAGTTTTAGTAAAATATCAAAGTGTGAAGATTCGAGTAAAAAAAGCTCGGCACGGAACGTGTTAAATATTTCTGCATCCGAATGTCCCAACGACCGTATACCTCAACGACCAGATATACCGACTCAACGTCTTCACGACATAACACCCCAAGAATAAAATCTTCCGAACAGCGAGAGGTTAGAACGTCCGACCGAAAATAATACGAAACCACCCTTCGCGCTTCGGGGTTGCCGATTGAATGAGCGAAGACATGGCGCACTCGCGGTCGCGGCTCGCGGTCCCCTTTGTCCCCACTCCTTCGACAGGACGACTCGTAAGCAAATCGCGCTCTTCGAGTCACCTTATTACGCTTTCGAAATCCTCGTGACGTGTTATTTAGGGTAACGGCGCCGAGTCAATTAGGGTAACGGACGACCTCGAGTCGGTGCGTAATATACAACGATAACAATTTTTTCTTGAGACGGGTCGAAACGCGCTGCTCGTTTATTCGACTCTTTTCATTCTTCGTATTAAAAGCCGAGCCCAACCCTCCCCCCATTGATCAGTGTCTTTCGAATAAGTCGCAAACAAATTTTTTCCATTGCTGTAATAATAAACGTTTTGCGTGTAGGACACGTCGCGAAGAATTCGTGTCGTAATAACGCGAATTCCGATGCGCGAACTACTACGACTTGTTCTCGGAACGCAATAACGATTTTATGATCAGTTCCTATAGCTCATTTCTGCTAAAACGAGCCATTTACCAGCAACTCGTCCGCACTACCCCCCAAAAGATGGCGTGTGGCCAGAGGCAGTGGCCACGACGAATTTCCGCGAGATGTAGCGGAGGTGTAAATGCCGATA